TTTCTTTATTCTAGACAGTAGAGGGTGAATGATAAGATTTCTTTATTTTACACGGTAGATGGCAAATGGCTGCTCCCTTTGTCCTAGAAAGTTCAGGACTATTTGATCCCTCGTGTTTCTCAGGATCCTCCCTCCAAACATTCTATCCTGTGCAGCAGGGTTTTACATCCTTCCAACACAACAGCGGTCTTTGACCCAGACATGTTGAACTCTTTAGTGCTAGGACTCAAGTCCTCTTGCTGTTTTGGGACAATTCAGAAAAGAATCAGCCCCAGTCCTTTTGCATACTTCTGTCTGACTGTCCTAGGTGAGTAGAAAGAAACAGTTCAACTGCTTGACAAGATTTGTTGACCTGAGGTCTTGTCTGCAGCTGGATTTCTATCCTACTTCTGTGATTTTCCTTTCGTGGATCACCAACGCACTGCAAACGCCTATCACTGCTTTTGACATGGGGTACTTTGGTTCTGCCTGGAAAGGCAGGAAGTCTCGAAGTGAGGAGCTCACAGATCATAGGCAGATTGAAATGTTTTCAGCAAGAACAGGCAAAGCCGTAGAGACAGAAAGCACACTCGTGGTTAGCAGGTGCTGGAGGGAAGAAGGAATGGGGAGCGGCTGCTGACTCCGTGTAGGGTGATGACAATGTGTGGAACAGGATGGCAGTGATGGTGACACAATGATCTGAGGAGAAGCTGCACAGGCAGCATCTGAGAAGGAGGGAAGGGCTCACAGGGTTCAGAGAGGGTGTCAGGGCATCAGGGTGGATTTATCTTTTCCTGGTGGAAATCCAGTATTTCCCCCACTGATTTAGTTACTGAAGCGTGTTTGGAACTCTGAACTGAAGAGATGGAGGCTCAGTAAAGCACACCAGGGAGTGTGGCAATGAGGAACAAAGAAGACTGTGTTACACGCCATGGACCAGAGCATGCAGGTGTGCAGAGCTGTGGACCCAACGCTGCTGTGTGGGGTGTAGCCTCATGTCTGGGGGTGGGAAAAGAAGGGGATCCAACCAAGGGAAGTCAACATTAATAGAGAGGAAAGGTATCACATGTTAATGGTCCTCCATGGATCACCCTGGAAAATGTCTCTGCAATCCAACACTGATTCCTCCTTCTGGAAATGATCGGCAGACAGTCCAGATAGCATTGGCCCTAAATTGTCTCCTGGAACCTCCTGGGATCATCAGATCTATTTCTAAGGGCCCAACACTCTGAAGGATGCATTCTTCTCTCTCCTGTTCCCCTCCTGGCTGCATCTTGGAGGCTTCTCTGGCTGTACTGAGGCTCAAATAGCAGAATCCCAAGGACCACCAGGATTAAGCCAGCCATGCCCATGCGGATGAGATTCTCCACTGTGTAATCCTGGGAGTGTGAGGCTGGGGATAGTGGACAAGGAGGTCACAGAGGTCGGGACAGATCAACATCACCCAGGACCTCTGGATGTCCACTCAGAGCACATCCTTACCCTTGACAGGACCCAACCCTTGTGCCCAGCCCTGTAAATGAGAGTATCTCCTCACTCACCAGTCTTGGGGTCAGAATTGTTTTGTGATGAAGCAAGGGTGTCAGCTGCTCCTGAGAATGAAAACAGAGGGGAAGAGCCCTGAGCCAGCCTCTTCCCTGTGCTCTTCACTCTTACCTTCCCCTATGTCTCCTGACATGAGTTCTGTAGTTCCTCGATAAACCCTTCCTCTGCCGCAGCAGCACTCCCTTCAGTCTCCTTATTGAATTATTTCAGACTTCCTGTGTCCTACAAACCCAAACGTTGCTCCTGAGGCCTTTGGGGAGGGCATTTTCCTGCACTCTGGGAGCTCAGAATCTGAAAGGTAATACAGAAGTCACTGAGCCCCATGCACTGTCTGTGCAGCCAGGGACACAGGAGCACATAAGCCAATTCCCCAGAGAGGAGAGTTTCACTTATCCACCAGCTGAGGACCCAGGCTCCACGCATGAGAGGTTGGTCCGCAGGGGCTCCCCAGTGTCAGAAGCACAAAAGGGCGAAAGTCTGGGGGTGCTTCTTCTTCACACAGCCTCAGCCAGTTCAGCCGGAGTTTCATCTTCCGTTTAATCTCTAGTTAACTAATTCCTCATATAGGCAGTAACACCTAGAATGCGACGCAGGTGACCACATTCACACACATACAAATAGATGTACGCTAAATGGTGGTGTCACTCAAGGTTCATGAATCAGTATTTGTTTTTATGAAGTGTGAATCTAGGTGAGTCTAGACCAGGAACAAACATGTAAACACCTATCACTTCAAATATGTTAAGCATATGCGTGAATATACATCAAATGAATTTGGATATACTTACATATTCAAATGTATCTTACATAACCCCATGTAAATATGTATATATGTAAAACTTCAGCTATGTATTTAAGATGTCGTTACATACATGTTGACATTTAAAGTGAGAAGTATTGGCACATAATTTAGAAATAAAGAAGTAAAATTTCCCATTGTCCTATGGTTTATACACATTGCGTTAGTAAATTAGAGGTGATCCGTTAAAAAACAATTAGCACAGGGCACTTTAGTAATGAGTTAGCATGAAATACAATGAATATACTCAAAGCAGGAGCTTTCTCATGGAGAGTTGTCTCTTCTTTAAAACATGTAAAGGAAATACTTCACTTATAAATTGTTAAAGGTGGTGAAGAATTCTTTAAATTAGAATGAATATAATTTTTAAAAATGTCCACCCAGGACACCCAGTTCCCTTGACAGGACCTGACCCACTGCGCCCAGCGTCTTCACCGCGAGCATCTCCTCACTCACCGGCCTTGGAGTCGGACTTGGTTTGTGGTGGGCTGAAGGTCTCAGCTGCTCCTGAGAATCAAAACAGGAGAAGAGACATATTCAGATGTAACTTATATAACAAACTCTGTATAAGGTTATGTATAACTTATATAACCTCCCCATCAAGGAGAGGTGGGTGTCCTGGGTAGACATATAAAAAAGTAAATTCAGGCCAGGCACGGTGGCTCACGCCTGTAATCTCAGCATTTTGGGAGGCTGAGGCTGGCAGATCACGAGGTCAGGAGTTCAAGACCAGCCTGGCCAACATGGTGAAACCCCGTCTCTACTAAAAATACAAAAATTAGCTAGGTGTGGTGGTGGGCGCCTGTAATCCCAGCTACTTGGGAGGTTGAGACAGGAGAAGTGCTTGAAACCGGAAAGCGAAGGTTGCAGTGAGCCAAGCTCACACCATTGCACTCCAGACTGGACAACAAGAGCAAAAGTCCATCTCAAAAAAAAGTAAAAATATATATATTTATTCTAATTTAAAGAATTATTCAACACCTTTAACAATGTGTAAGTGAAGTATTTGATTCTTTACATTTTTTAAAACAAGAGATAAGTATCCACGAGAAAGCTACTGGTTTGGGTATATTCATTGTATTTCATATTAACTCACTACCAAATTGCCCCCTTCTAATATAAATCTAAATTAACAATTTAAAGCACTTTTTCGTATAAAAAACGTTTAGTTAGATGTTAGAATGATCCAGTGATTGGACAAGATGGGACATGAACACACCCGGGCCCAGGGTTGAGCTGCACTGCAGCTCCTGCTGACCTCCCGCGGGTTTCACGAGCCACAGGGAGCCGCCTGGTTAGTTTCTCTCGGGCCACTGTGCTTTGAAACATCCAAACACTTCTGAAGTTCATTAAGGAAACCTCAATTTTTAATATGTACGGGAGGAAGACTTGAGGTTAATGAAGAATGGATGTCTACATTGAATATATAAATTAAATCAAGGCCCAATGAAAGGCAAAGTAGAATTAAATATTTTTAAAGAATAGGTTCATATAATTGAAATAAAAAGTATGCATTTGTATATTGAAGTATTGCTTTAAAAGTTTTAGTAAAGGAGAGGGCAACAATGGACAAAGGCATATAGAAAACAGAGTAGAAATGAGTGACACACGACACGCTCTGTGACTAATTCCCTAACTCGTCCAGGGTGCAGGTGCACGGTCCCTTCTTAGTCTCAAGGTGCCCTGAGCACAGAACCTCGGTGGGATCTGACTGTGATGAGGCTGGAGTCCACCCTAAACGTGCTCCTTTAGAAAGAAGCACCGCAGCTATGGGTGCCGCTCACATGGCCCCTTCTGTGCTCACCTGGTGGGCTCAGGGCACTCCTGAGACTAAGGAGGGGCCATGCACCTGCTCCCCGGCAAGTTAGGGAATTATTGACAGCATGTGTTGTGTGTCACTCACTCATTTCTACTCTGGGGTGGACTCCACCCTCATCACAGTCAGATCCCACCAAGGCCTCCTCTCCTGTCTTGAGATGGCCCAGGGACCCCACAGGTGTGGGTGAGGCGCTCATCCTCAGGGGCTCTCGGAAATAAGAAATGAGAGCTGCCAAACGACCGTCCATCTGTCCTCTCTCCACCTCGCTCGCCTCTGTTCCTCCTCCATCAGCCCCAGCATCTTCCCTGGGTCCAGCCTGACTTGGAGCAGGTGCATGGCCCCTCCTGCTGACCCGACCTGTTCTCCTTCCTCTACTCATCACACGTCCCGCAGGACAAGGTCGGGGTGTGGGCTCCTGCAGAGCTGTGCCAGGTGTTGCTTTTTTGGTAGAAAATTGGAGAGATTTTGTTTTGTACATGAGACAGTGGAGAGTCTCAACCAGAGGTGATGGCTCCTGGGAATCCTGCTCCTGGAGGGGGAAAGTCCCCGCTGCTCCACTCGTCAGCGTTGAACCTCAGACACCTCCCTCCCCTCTGACCACCACGGAGGGAACACCTGCCCCATCCCTGGAGCCCCAGGAAGCCACGCGGACCACACCCTTACTGTCCACCCTGCCCTCTGCTGCCCTGGAAATCAGATCCCGAATATTGAAGGTACCATTGAGATGAGTCTAAAAACTTCTCTTGAACTGGGTGTGACGGTGTTTTTGTCACCATGAGTCAGGACTTAGAGGTTGGGACCCCCAGAGGCTCTGATTCTGAGGTGGAGACATCAGGAGGGGAGCATGTGGGGCCTCTGTCTTCCACCGTCGGTCTAATCTCATCTCATCTCCTCTGAGGTTCACCGCCGTCTCCTCCCAGCCCTCCCTGCTCTTTGCCTTACTGAGAGTCCAGGGGTTGGAGCCAGGGGTGGGAGGTCCCGGCCTATTTCCACCCTCTCATGGACTGGACCCTCCCCTGCAGACCCTCCCCGTTTACTCCCCTCTTCTTTTCTTTTTTTTTTTGAGACGGAGTCTCGCTCTGTGGCCCAGGCTGCAGTGCAGTGGTGTGATGTCGGCTCACTGCAAGCTCCGCCTCCCGGGTTCATGCCATTCTCCTGCCTCAGCCTCCCGAGTACCTGGGACTACGGGCGCCCACCACCATGTCCAGCTAATTTTTTCTATTTTTCAGTGGAGACAGGGTTTCACCGTGTTAGCCAGGATGGTTTCGATCTCCTGATCTCGTGATCCACTCGCCTCGGCCTCCCAAAGTGCTGGGATTACAGGCCAACTCCCCTCTTTTCTTAGTGTCCAGAGCTCTGCTGGGAGCAAGGCCTGAGCTGAGCCTTTGAGTTCAGAGAGAACAGGGTCAGGGTCTCACCTGAGACCACGAGCTCCAGGGGGTCACTGGGCACAGACAGCAGGTAGGGAATGGAGCTGTGTGAGCCGTAGCACCTGTAGATCCCCGCGTGGGCTGAGGTCACAGGACTCATGGGAAATTCAGCCTGGTACTTAGGATATTTGTGCATTGATCTTAGATGGAGGTGGGCATCAGCTGCTCCGCCTGGAGTCAGAAGAAGCGTGGAACTCCCACGAGGACTGACAGAGCAGGGTCACGTTCTCTCCTGAGACCACCTTGAGGCTGGCTGCACTGAGAGGGTCTGCCACGGATCTGTCCTGGAGAGAAGAGCGATGGGTGAGGGCTGCCACCTGGTTCTGAGCTGACGCCTCTCCAGGCTTCTATCTGGGACCCTCAGTCTCTGTCTCTGTTTTCCTCTGAGTCTCCTCCCACCCATCCCCTGTCTCTGTCTGTCTCTCTCTCCCTTGGGACCCCTGCCCCTCATCCCAGCCATCACCACCTGGGCTCCCCCAGCAGGGCCTGAGCAGAGCCTGGGTCCCTGACTGAACCCGCTGGGCTCCTCACTTGAGATCAGGATGTCCAGGGGGTCACTGGGGGCCGACCACTCGGAGGAGAGGTTGTGTGCACCGTAGCATCTGTACTGGCCCCTGTGGGCGCCTCACAGGGGGCCCAGGAAGAGTTGGCCTGGGAGGCCCAGCCTGGCGCTGCCGACCAGGGCGCTGGGGAATCGTCATCTCTCCCTCCTTGTACAGAGCAAATCTGTCTGCTTGACATCAGAGCCACACTGCAGGGTCAACATCCCCGAGGAGCCACGACAGGACCCGGCTGCACTGGTGGCTTCTTAGAAACGCCTGGGAAAGGTGGTCACAGTTTCCAGGAGCGACCCTCAGGGCTTCCACACAAACCCTCCCTCTCCCCCTGGGCCTCACCACTGCTGATCTTCCTGTGTCTCTGGCCCCAGGAGCCCTGAGCCCTCTCGTCCCAACATCATCCCACCTGGCGCTGCCCTGAGGCCTTGTCCTCCCCACCTGCCCGGAGACTCAGGGAACTCCAGGCAACGCTGTGAATTTCTCACCTGGGACCAGGAGCTCCAGGGAGATCACTGGGTAAGATACATTCAGGAGGCCGGAGTCATAACCATATGCAGTACGACCACCTGCGACTCGGGCTCACGGGGCCACGGAGACGGCCAGGGATGACCCATGGGCATGGGACTGGCAGTTGAAGGATGTTGTGGGTGCTCATCTTCTCCTTTCTTACACACAGAGCAAGCCATCAAATGCCACCTGTGAGTCACACTGCAGGGTCACGCTTCCTCCTGAGGCCACCACAGGGCTGGGCAGGGCTGAGAGGGTGGGTTTGCTGTAGGCTCCTAGGAGAAGGAGGCACCGTGTTAAATGGGCTCCCACCTGCCCATCATCCCCAGAGGCTGGGCTGTGAGAGGAGACGCCCCTCAGAGCCGACCCCCTTCCTGAGGGCAGAGCCTGGGGCTGGGACCCTGAGTGTCACTCTCACCTGTCACCACCAGCTCCAGGGGTCACTGAGCTCTGATGAGTGATTGCGGCACCTTAATACTGACCCAGCGATACCGCCCCGCGTGTTCGAGGGTGATGGATGCAATGGAAATAGCCCTTCTTGACAGAGTTCTTGTCGTATCCGTCTAACCCAGGATGCTGAGTTTTTTTCTCTATATAGATGATACTCCGGAACCTGAAGGCTCCCCTGACACCTGAGGGTGCAGGACTCCCCCTCGCTGATCACAGACCCTGGCGCTCAGCCCAGAGTGGGCTTGAGAAGGAGTCCTGGAAAAAATCAGAGATCCAGTTCTAAGTCATTTCCCACCCAAGATCTCAGCTCTTATTGGCAGGACCCTCCAGACGCCCCCAGCAGTCAGCCCAGATCTGCACTGTTCCCCGTCCCCAGCTGCAGGTGGCCTTGTCCCCACTGAGGAGGAGGGACCTGGGACAGCTGGGGACAGACTCACCTGCCTGCACGTGGGTCCTGAGGCCCAGACTCAGCCCTGGAAGAGAGTTCCCTGTGAGAGATTTGCCCCTGAAGCCTGAGCAGGTCCTCCCCTCCCTGGGATCTTTGTGAACCCCTGGGGTCTCCTTATGCACCAGAGTTTGGCTGTGGGGTGAGGTCCCTCTGGAGTTCGTCTCCCTCCTCTTCAAATCTCACCGAGACAGATCAGGACCGTGAGGATGGGAGTCATGGTGTCTCCTCACTGCCCTGCTCTGTGGATGGATGTGGCCTCGGTGCTGGCAGGACAGAGACACACAGGGTGTGGACACTCAGAGTCTGGGTCGTTCTTCTCATGAGTTTTGTCGTCTGCAGCCACACAGGAGCGGAACTGCCCTCCCAGGAGCCTGGCTGTGATTCCTTTAGAGCTAGAGGTGGGGCAGCACCAGACCCTCTGTAGACAGTTCAGACAGAAATGGGGTGTTTCCTGACCCCCGCCACTGTCTGTCTGGTTTGTCCTCATTCACTAAGGCCTGGGAGATAGCAGCAACAAATAGGGCAGGTGCCTTCCTGTATGCCATGCCCTTCTGATCAGGAGTGAGCCAAGGCTTTTCCTTCCTTCTCACAGCCTCCCACAAGGTCTCCCTCCCTCCTTCAGCCTGTCCGTCAGCACGGTGTTGTGTGGTCCTTACCATGGCAGTCATCTCTTCAGTCCTGGAGATGCTTCGGAGAAGACACGGGTCCATGCTGCAGGCCAAATCAGACCAGCAGAGATGCACGTAACACCTGACTGGCAGTCCAGACTGAGCTGTGTGTGGCAGTGAGCACAGAAGGAGAAATGCTGGGAAATAGGGAAGAAAAGTTTGACTTCTCTCTTGCTTTGGATTGTAGGTTTTTCAACCAAATAGTCTCCTTCTCAACTTCTCCTTTTTAAAATATTTTCTTTGCAGTGTCCACCCCCACCCCTGGGAACCGTCTGAGTGCTTTCTGACTCCTCGGTGCCCCTTGCGTCATATGCCGTCCCTCTGCACCTCAATTCTTGGTCAAACTTGTTGGGAACAATGACATGTTTGTGCTTTGATTTGAGGAGCTGAGGAGAGTGTCTGTTGATGACTGGTTGTCATCCGCTGCCTATGTGACCTTGGTCTGTAGTGTCCCATCTCTGAGCCTCAGCTTCTTCCTTTGCAGACTGTTGTCATGAATCCCACTCATCACAGTGGTTGTGGGGTCAGTGGTGCCTGGGACATTGGGAGGGGCTCATTTGTGCCTGATTTCCAGACCAGGGTAAGACCTGAGGTGCTTGGGACATGACAGGATCTTGGTGTTGGACTCCACAGTCTGTGAAGGTGATTGATGTCTCCACTTAAGATGTCGCATCTGACCCTAATGGAGAAATGCTTCATCAGGCATTTCTGAAATACACAGAGCATCAATGTCATGAGCAGAAAAAGGGAATTAATGAAGTTCCCAAGTGTGGACGGATCAGCAACAAGGGCAAGCTGGAGATGAGATGGGGTCAAGGGGTCATTACGGTTGAAGTTTCACCACTGAGTGGAACTGGGAGAGGAAAATCTCGGGATTTGCAATGACAGTGAGCTGAAGGCTCAGACCAAGGTAGGAGGCTGCATCCATCCAGCCACACCTGGGGCTGAAGTGGACCCCAAGCAGCCCAGGAGAATTCCCTCAAGGAGTGCAAACCGTCCAGTGACAGAGCTGCTGGGATTCCAAAGAAAAAAGCACTAAGCACCAGAGTGTTCACGGGGCATTTATTAAGGACTTCCATGCTGTAGGGAGTCCTTGTCTCCTTGCCCAGTGTCTACTTGTGGACCTCAAGGATGTGCTTCCACATAGCAGCATGTTCTTCAGATGAACAAGGAGACACTGGGTGTTCTATCCAAGATTTTAACCTAAAACAAAAACAAAAATAAACCCTGGAGAATATGTCTCCCAGTAGAGTTGTTTCTTGGGATACGCAGGGGAATTCGTTTCAGCATTCCCTACATGTACCAAACATGATGTACCAAAGCAACTGACAGAGCTACTTAGAAACAGAGTTCCCTGGTTCCAGAGGTTCAAAGCCAGAGATGCTGTCGGTCCATTGGAGGAGATGCTGTTGCTGGGCAAGTGTTCTCTTAAGAGTATCTTATCCGAATTCCTGACGTTCTAAAGAATATCTAGTGATAAACCTTGTCAAAGCAGGAGTTGAGTGAAGGACATGGAAGAGTTTCTTGTGTTGTTTTAAAAGTCCTTAGAAACAGTTCTTATCTGAGACCTGGAAGCATGAGCCTTCTCTCCTTCAGGACTTCCCTGGCCCTATGCAGTCTGGGTTTGACAAGTCATCTCATCCTTGCACATGTGAATTTCCTCATTGGTGTCTGCAGTGAAGGAGTAGATTTACAAAGTTTAACCTGAGAATTTCAGGAATTTGGTTCAGGAATGGCTTGTTTCTACCTCTTTAGCAAAAGAGTTAATTTTCAATGTTTCTAGAAAAACCTAAAGTGCTTTATCAGTACCTGGGAATGCTCAGGACCTCGGCTTGGGTTCATGCCTGCAGGTGGAAACATGCCTGTCCAACCCTGCCAGGCAGTGTGGCACTTTGTCTCTCTCTCAGAAGAAAGAAAGAAGTGGGGGAGACCGTCGGACCCTAGAGAGACTGGCTCCGCCTCTTTTGTGTTTGTGGACAGACGCTGGGATAGCTCCCCTCAGTAATCCGGGCCACACTCAGCACTACGCCACCTTCCGGGTGGACAGGACACAGACTCGCTTTATCATTGCTGGACCGGGCATGTCTCATACATGTGTGTGAGGCTCACATGAGCCCTGATGTCTGGGCACAACGGAGCTGATTCTAAGCTTGGGAGCTGGACTGCAGGACGCCTGAGCGGCCACAGCAGTGCCCCATCAATTTTTTCATTGCTGAGTTCAGTCACCAAGGAGAAAACCTGAATAGAAGATCAATTGTGTAAGAAAAATCACCCAAGATTAAAAGTCAAACAGTCTATTAGAGAAAAAACAGGTAATTATAGAAATGAATTACAAAGATATTTTGAGGTGAAAAATAGTAAATTATATTAACACATTTACAAATAATTTCATCCAGAACAAGACACAGCTGAAATGATAAATATTATACTGGTGTAGAATATTTACTAAAGTTTTCAGAAGTCATCAGAGCAACTTTAGAAATGAAAAAATAGAAAACATAATTAAGTAACACAAGAAACAGAATGAGAAGAGAGGGTAAAGAGATATCTCTCTATGGATCACTGTTTTCAGAATGAAAGAAAGAGTATGTTAGTAAAACTTTGCAAAGCAGTTGATGTTTTACAGAAATGAACAAAGAACATGAGCTTAATGTACACAGTTTATAAATAAAATTAATGTCTTGACCATGGTAGAATGAAAGATATCTAGAAGAAATAAAAAGTAGTTTAAAACTGGGAGAAAATGAAAATTATTCTCAAATGAATGACAAGCACATTGGGACTGAATTTCCCAAAAGTAAAGTGTGGAAAATGACCAGGGGAGTTCAGGCTCAATTTGGGTGAATGGGAAGAGCAGACGTGTGCCTCTCTCCTTACAGAGGAATCAAAATGGTGAGTAAATGCCGAAACATAGTGGATCTTCTCAGAGAGCACCTGGGGGCTCACAGAGAAACACAGGGACATAGAAAGCACAGAGGAGAAAAGCCCAGAGTCAGGAGGCCTCCTAACAAGAGGAGGGGGTGAGTGAGTGAGAGGTCCCCTAACACAAAAAAGGGATGAGTGTGTTAGTCAAGGTTCTCTAGAGGGACAGAACAAACCTAAAGCCTTTTGATTTGTGATACTGGGGTGACTTTTTCCTCATTTACATCTTTCGTTATTTCTTTGAGCAGTATTTTTAAATTGTCAGTGTATATGTATTGCATCTCTTTGGTTAGATGTATTTCATTTTCTTTTCTTTTCTTCTTTTTCTTTTTTTCTTTTCTTTTTTTTTTGAGACTGAGTCTCACTCTGTTGCCCAGGCTGGAGTGCAATGGCACGATTTCAGATCACTGCAACCTCCGCCTCCCAGGTTCAAGCAATTCTCCTGCCTCAACCTCCCGAGTAGCTGGGATTACATTGCGTGCCACCCACCATGCCCACCTAATTTTTGTATTTGGTTAAATGTATTTCTATGCGTTTTTAAAATGAATTCATGTTCCCTAATATACATGTTAAAATGCTGAGCCCCATTAGCTATAAATGTAGACATAGTTGGAAATAGTCTTTTTGACCCGTTTTAAAATTGTGATCAAGGGATCATGTGAGTGGGATAGGTCCTACTCTGAGTCACAGTTGGTGTGTCGTAATCTGAAGAAGAGAAGAGACACACAGAGAAGAATGGATGTGAAAACAGAGATACCCAGGTAGACGTAGGCACTGAGAAGATGGAGGCAGAAACTGGCGCTATGCTGCCCCAAGTCAAGGAGTGTCTGGACCAGCAGAAAATAGGAAAAGTGTTTAAGAATTATTCCATCGCTGGGCGCGGTGGCTCACGCCTGTAATCCCAACACTTTGGGATGCCAGCAGGGCAAGATCACCTGAGGTCAGGAGTTCAAGATCAACCTGACTAACATGCTGAAACTCTGTCTCTAGTAAAAATAGAAAAGTTAGCTGGGCATGGTGGCACACCTGTAGTCCAGTTACTTAGGAGGTGAGGCGGGAGAATGCTTGAACCAGGACCTGAAGGTAGCAGTGAGCTGAGATCCGCCATTTGCATTCCTAACCTGGGTGACGATAGTGAAACTCTGTCTCAAAAAAAAAAAAAGAATTCTTCATTAAACTTCTACATAGTTCTGTGCCACTTTTCTTCACGTTGTAGATTTTTAAGTGAGCCGTGTTATCTCTCACATCAGATATTAACACGTTTGTCTTTTGTGGATATGCTAGGATAACAGTCTCAGAATTTCCTTTGACCTGTGCCGTAACACTGTAAGAATAGAAGTAATCATTGCCTCTGAATTAGAAAGGACTGTAGGTAGATGCCTGAGCTCTCAGTGGGATGTGCCACAGGTGCCTGGTGCTCATTAGTGAAGACACCTCTGTCCATGATTCCCAACCCTGCATTCAGTGAGAACTCATTGGCACCTTGATTGGGGCCTTGAAAAAAATTTATACCACAGAAACTGGTAGATACCACCCAATAGCGCATTTTAAAGATGTCTTTCCAGAATCTAGCATAGCTGTGGTGTCACTTAAAATGTGTGAGTGGTGTTCAGAGGTGATATTCAGGAGAAATTACACAGATAGCACCTAAGAAAGAGGGAAAGGGAGGCTCATAGGGTCAGGGAGGGCATTAAATCTTCGGAGTGGATTTATGTTTCCTGGTTGGAATCTGATCTCCTGTTGTCGATTTAGTTGGTGGTTCAGGTTTGGATCTCTGGGCCCAGAGATCGCGACTCAGTAAGGGACATCAGGGTGTGACAATGAGAATAAGGAAGACTAATGTTACATGCCGTGGACCCAGAGCACGCAGGTGTGCGAGG